CAACAAAAACATCAACATCTACGAGAGATGACCCGGTTAATATGACACGTGCCAGCATCAACGAATGGGGCTATGCGGTTTCGACATGAACGTGCCGTACCCACAGCGGGGTGAATGACCTCAAGATATCACCGACTACCTTGCTGGAGCACAGGGGATACCATGATGACCTTACCGTTACCGTCGTTAGGTCGCTACATGTCACCACAACGCTGCCAGTACACGGGCCCTACTCGGGGCATTCCACGAGGTCGACTCAGAAAACTAGCAGGTGTGGTTGCTGTACGACGAGCAGCCGAAGATTCTCAGCCGCTGCTGCCGCGACGAAACTTCGAAACCCGCTGCCACCTCAATGTAGTTCCGACCTCGAAACTTTGCGGCCAGAAAGACACCTGATGACGTAACGTCGAAACAGCAGTACAAACCGTCATAGCCGTGATCCGACACCACGACCCAACCGCAAAGCCAAGCAAACTGGTGACCTCGACATTTTCATCGAAGGTCACATTGTTACCGCTCTTATCGACACTTGCGCCGAATATTCCGTCATCAGTGAGCCGTTCGTCGCCAAGCTGAAGAAAGCAAGGACTGCTTGGAATGAACCCAAAATCCGAACTGCTGGAGGCCACCTGATAATGCCGGTTTGAGTTTGCACAGCCAGAGTCGCAATCAACAACTGGACTTGTCCGGCAAGATTTGTTGAAGCACATGAGTGCTTCAGGGACGTGATACTTGGGATGGAATTCTGAAGTCACCATGGCGGTGTCATCGACCTGAGGTCTGAAAGAAAGTATTGTAGCGCGAGGTGAAATACAAAATCAGGAAGGAATACACGAAGAGAGTACAGAGCGCTGCCACCCCACACGACGTCGGAGAATCACGCATTGAATATAATAGAAGAGCAGGTCACCGTGTCATCTTTCTCCAGCGTATTATTTTCGTCAGGCCTGAAAAGATCCGAAAACTTGAAGGCGTAATTGAGGGCGATCAACACCTGATCTTAAACTGTCATATTTGCGATGGCAAAGCAAAAGTATTGCTAACAAGCTTCAGCCACGAATATAGGCACCTCAACGTTGGTACGACGGTCACCTACATTGATGAATTCATGGATGCCAGCAGTGCTTTTACTTCCTTCAATGCTGCCGAAGCTGCTTCGACGAATCGAGGTCCCGAACCAGATTTTGACGTCAACCCAAGCCTTCCGAAGCACGAGCAAGACCTGCTCAAGACCCTGCTCTTGCAGTTGAAGGACTGCTTCTCGTCATCATCAAGAATTCAACAAACCCCAGTTGTGAAACATCGCGTCATAACAGAAGAAAGTGCCCGACCACTTCGGCAGAGCTCGTACCGGGTTTTGACGCAGAAACGCGAAGCCATGAAGAAGTCGATGAAATATGAAGTCATTCATATGCCGAAACAAAAGTACACACAGACGCACGCAACATAGGACTCCGCGCCGCTCTTGTGCAAAAGGCCGATTGCCTGGAAAGGGTTATCAGTTACGCTATCTGGTCATTAACCAAGGCTGATGTCAATTATTCCACAACAGGAAAGGAGTGCCTTGTCATATCAGGGCTGCATCAAAGTTTGGTTCTTGCCTTTATTGTAGATCTTTCAAAGTTGTGACGACCACCATGCCCTGTGTTTGCTTGCTAACTTGAGGAGCTCTTCAGGTCGTCTCGCGCATTGGAGCCTAAGTCTTCAAGAGTTCGACATTACCATCGTGAATAAGTCCAGAATAAAACACACCGAAGCCGACTGCCTGTCTTGCTCCCCTGTCGATCCACCACCGCAGGACAACTAGGATGATGAGTGCTTCGTAGGAACCACAACTGCTGATGACTTCGCCAAATCACAGCAAGGTGACCCGGAGCTGAGGTGCCTAGTGGAATTCTTCGAGGGCCAGAACACCGTTGTCCCACAAGTATTCAGGCGAGTACTGCCGTCATTTTCGAGGGCTCCTCCTAGTCTAACCTTGTCCTGCGTCAGGCGTAACCGGCAGTATCAGACAAACAGACAGACAGGCAACCCGATGGACGGACGGATGGACACACCAATGAAAGCACGGACAGACGAATGAGCAGATAAATGCACGGACACAGACGGACAGACTGATAGACACACAAACAGATGGACATACGGATGGACGGGCAGACGCTTCGCCCCACTCATCGTCATTCACTCTGTGAATATGCTGTGATTTTTTCTCAAAAAACAGTGTCCTCGTAAGAACTTTTCTCCATCGCGAGCCAGCTATCTCATCATTGTACCTTCAGCAATGCGACCAGAAATTCTTCAAGCTTTACACGAAGACCCAATGACTGGACACCTCAGACTTTCCGGCACGCTCCCAAGAGTACAAGAAAAGTAGTACTTGACGTCTGTCGACGTCCCTCGCTACGTAGGGACGTGTCGAGACTGTCAGCGACGTAAGACACTGTCCACAAGACCAGCAGGCTTCCTCCAGCCAATCGACCCTCTCTGGCGATCGTTTTAGTAGATCGGGGTGGACCTCCTGGGGTCGTTCCAAATGTCGACTTGCGGAAAGAAATGGATCGTCGTAGCTAGTGACTACCTTGCCCGCTACGCTGAAACAAGAGCCCTGCCCAAAGGCAGTGCTGCCAAGTTCGCCAAGTTCTTCGTTGAGATCATCGTCCTTTGACATGGTGCCCCAGAAGTTCTCGTCACCGACAAAATTACGGCATCTACTGCTGACCTGACTCGGGCAATCCTGAGATACAGCCAGACAAGCCATCGCCGGACAACCGCGTGCCTGCCACAAACCACTGGCCTGACCGAGTGTCTAAATAAGACCATCGTTGACACTGCTGGCAATGCACAGCAATGTGGAACACAAGGCGGTGGATGTCATCTTTTCCTGCTTGACCTTCGCGTACAACACAGCTGTGCAGGAGACGATGCGGATGATACTATACAAGTTAGTCTACAGAAGAAACCTGGTAATGATGTTCGGTGCCATGCTGCCCAGCGTTGCTGACGTAGAAAACTTTGATGTCATTGCTACCTGCAACACGCCGAAGAAGCCTGTAAATTCGCCTGCCTCCGCATTAAGAACCAACGGATGACCGATAGCTGCCGTTACAATCTTTGACGAAGCTTCGTGGAATACTAGCCTCGTAACTACGTTTGGGTGTGGCCGCCGATACGCTGCCATGGACTCAGCGAAAACTTCTACAATGGCACTTCGGACCGTACAGTGTAGTTCAACATCTCGGCCTACTCGACTACGAGGTTGTGTCCGAAGGCATTACGAACTCTCAACAGCCCGTGCACGACCTGAAGTCATTCATGCCGCCCGCCTAAATCCATTTCATGCGCATCAGTGAACCTTGTATTTTTGTTGCTCTATGTTATTTCTTGTACTTATACTTTATTTTTCTTTACTTGATTATTGTGCTTTCATTTATTGTTAAAGCGTCGAGGCGATGCCTTTTTCAGAAGGGGGCACATTTTTTTCTTAAGTTTTTTTATCACTTCGTTACACTGTTAGTAATTCTCAGCACAAACCAAAATTCCAGTGTTCGAGGAGCGTCACAACTGTAGTCGATCGTTTTGTTAAAATTCGGCCACTTTGTGAACATTACAGATTACTCTAGAATCTTGCAGCTACTAGCGATAATGCTAGAGTATTCGACGGCACGATATATAAATGTCGACATGCTTCGCTTCATCGCTTGTCAGTTAGTTTATCAACGACCGACACTCTGTTCACCTCTATCAGTGCCAGTTACTTGCTGTAATCTGACTTTCATTTTACATGGCCACAAGTTCAGCCATATAAACAGTTTCATTTGACCATCCAGTCTGCTCCATTCGTCCGCGTCACGACCCCGTCACAATATTATGTGAATTGACCATGCATTTCGAGATTTGGAGAAGTATCACTGGATTATATCTGTGTGTGTTTAAATTGCGCTTTGTGTTCCTGTACAGGTGGCACTTCATGGCTGGAAAGTTTGCATGAGTAGTATTTTATACATAATGTTTGTACTTACTGAAGGGTCTTTAGTGGAGTCCAATACAATGCTGTCAGAGCATTGTTTGTAACTTCTTTTGTCTGAAGATTTGTTAAGCCATGTTTTTTTGTGTTGAGAGACTATGCAAATTTTATTTGTACCCTTCATGTTCTAAGGAGAGGTTCTTGGTCTGATTGCCGTGAAATTGAATTATGAATGCTCAAATGTTATTCCTAATTATTGCTAGCACCATTATTTGGATCGATTTTGGAGGACCTCAAAATGTCTTAAAAAATGCTACTATCCTACTGCAATGAAGCACTATTAAATGCTCTCAAATGTCCTGACATCACAGAGCACTCTTCGAATGGGGTTGGCTTTAGGTTGGAGGAAATAAAACAATCTAAGGACTCGGCCAGGGTGTAGCACACTGAATAAACAGTTTGCAGGACAAAATTATGTGCTCACATAAGACAGCTTCAGTTCCTATGATTTTGGGTGGAAAGGCTAGAAGCAAAATGCAAGAAACATTTTTTGGGGTATACGTATTAAATTGTCTGCAATTGTTGCTGTCCTTTGCTCTTAATCTTTATATGAAACTAGTTTCAGAGAAGCGAAGAACGGTTGGTAGGGCCTTTATGTGAAGATACTCTGCTATTGTGCAATGCATTATAGCAGCTGAGAGGGGAGAGATACCGAGAACTATTTACGAAGCAGGCAGATAAGAAAGTTGATGAAGTACTGCGAGGTTCAGTAAGTTTCGATTTTATTTTGTAGAATGGAGTAGTAGCTTTAAAAAGCGTACATGATTGTGCTGTCACTTTAGATAACTTGAGTGTGATGAGCGAATGAATGACTGTGGTAGTATGATACAGGTGATCTGATGCTGACCATTGTAAACTTTGGTTGAGAAATAGCTTGATGTTAGGACTTTGTCAGACTTGAGACCGTATTCAAGGGGCTGTGCCAGCCCCGTAGGTTGGTTTGTGCACTGGACATGTGCCTTTCTTGTCCCTGAAGGAGGAAGAGGAGTTTGACCACTTCCAGGACGAGGAGGAATTCGAGGGCCTCGATCAGGAGCGCCAACCCAGCCGGCCCCAGGGCGACAAGCCACACTTGACCATTGCCAAGGTCTGTGCTCCCCTTTCAGCTCCCAAGACAGGGCGTGGTTGCTCGCAGACCTCTGTTGCTGGGGCAGCCAAATTTTCCCAGCACAATATCTTCAGTGATGTGATAGCTGCACCAGGAGATGAAAGCTGCGATTTACTGCTACATTTCAGCAAAAAGTCTCAGAAATGCACCAACTGTGTACTTAGAGGTCATTTTTGCAGCTCTTCAGAAAAAAAATCAAAAACTTCGCTGTCTATGTAACTTGGAGATTGATCAAAATCTAAAGTTTATGTGAGCCGAATTTCAGATGCGAAGATGGTCGAGGTCAATCAGAATTCGCTGTGTGACGTGACCACCCTTTCTGAGCATGCACGCCCCTTCCCCTACATCCTCTCCTATGCTTGCTTCCCCTCTCTTTCTTATGGGGACTCCTCCCAGCGGCTTAAATACCCCTATTGCGCACTCACATCCTCTCCCCCCTCATATATATATATATATATATATATTGATTGATTGATTGATATGTGGGGTTTAACGTCCCAAAACCACCATATGATTATGAGAGACGCCGTAGTGGAGGGCTCCGGAAATTTCGACCACCTGGGGTTCTTTAACGTGCACCCAAATCTGAGCCCACGAGCCTACAACATTTCCGCCTCCATCAGAAATGCAGCCGCCGCAGCCGGGATTCGAACCCGCGACCTGCGGGTCAGTAGCTGAGTGTCTTAGCCACCAGACCACCGCGGCGGGGCTTTATATATATATATATATATATATATATATATATATAGAAGAACTTGAAGGGAAGGCACGACAGGTCCGGGTATTTTCTATATTGAATTAACTTGCAGATAGCACATAAGAAAAGGATCGTATTTACTAACGTTTCGGCCGTGCCACGGCCGAAACGTTACGGCCGTGGAAACGTTTCGGCCGTGGAAACGTAGTAAATACGATCCTTTTCTTATGTGCTATCTGCAAGTTAATTCAATATATATATATATATATATATATATATATATATATATATATATATATATATTGTTACGGGTAACTTATTTAATAAATTAAATACGATGCCCTGTGCTCGGCGAACAAGATGGCGACAGTTTATCAACAACCAGCCACCAACGTCTTCTTTCTCTTTCTTGCAGACAGGCTATGCCGGCTGTTGCGTATCATAACCCCCCGGCGGTAGAAGCACCGTCTCGGTGCTTGAGCAACTTGGATGCGGTAGAAAGAGGGTGATAAGGCTTGAGTCGAGCTATGTGCACGATGTCACTCGAAGGTGACGATGATGACGTTGAATAGGCTGGGACGATCTCGTATGTAACGTCAGTCACCTGGCGAACGACGCGATATGGTCCAGTGTAGCGTGACAGCAGTTTTTCAGAAAGCCCTACACGCCGAGTGGGGGACCTGAGGAGGACAAGGGAACCCGGTGAAAAGTGCACGTTTCGATGATGGTATTCGTAGAGCTGTCTTTGGCGCTCCTGCGAAGCCTGCAGGCGGCTGCGGGCGAGTTGGCGTGCGTGGTCGGCTCGCGCGATGGCTTCGCCGACATACTCAGTGACCGAGGGCAGCAAGGTGTCAAATGGTAGGGTGGGTTCTCGGCCGTATAGAAGATGGAATGATGAATAGCCGGCAGTGTCGTGACGTGACGAATTATATGCGAACGTCACAAATGGCAAATGAACGTCCCAGTCCCGGTGGTCGGCCGCTACGTATTTAGAAAGCATGTCGGTTATGGTGCGGTTGAGGCGCTTCGTAAGACCGTTCGTTTGTGGATGGTACGAAGTGGCAAACTTGTGCTTGGCAGAGCAAGAGCGCAGGATTTCATCAACGACAGCTGATAGGAAGGTGCGGCACCGGTCAGTGAGAAGTTGGCGTGGAGCTCCGTGTACTAAAATAATATCATATACCAGAAAGTCCGCCACATCGGTTGCGCAACTCGTCGGAAGTGCTCGTGTGATAGCGTACCGTGTCGCATAGTCAGTGGCGACAGCGATCCATTTGTTGCCTGAGCTGGAGATCGGGAATGGGCCAAGCAGGTCGAGGCCAACTCGAAAAAAAGGTTCAATGGGAATGTCGATCGGCTGAAGGAATCCAGCTGGTAGGGAAGATGGCTTTTCGCGGCGCTGCAGAGCTCAAAAGCGGCGACGTAGCGTTGAACAGAGCAGGCAAGACCAGGCCAAAAGAAACGATGACGTACACGGTCGTATGTGCGAAAGACGCCCAAGTGTCCCGCCAAAGGAGCGTCATGAAGTTGGTTGAGAACAGCCGCACGAAGATGTGCTGGTATGACGGGGAGAAAGTCATTAACCATATGGATCGAGGTTACGGCGATACAGGATGCCGTCTTTACCAGGAACATTTGTAGAGTCGCGAGGCATTGACTCAAGCTTGTCAATGATGGTTCGCAGGGAAGCATCCAGGCGTTGTTCGTGGCCAAGGTTGAGTAGCTGCGTCACAGACAGAAGGTCTGGAAAGGTGTCAGTATGGGCAGCCTCTTCCACAGGGTAGCGTGATAAACAATCCGCTGTGACCGCCCTGTTTTGTACGTTACGGTGAACGTGTATTCATGTAATCGTAGGGACCAACGAGCGAGGCATCCTGTGGGATCCTTGAGCGAGGCCAGCCAGCAGAGCGCGTGGTGGTCGGTGACTACCCGGAATGAACGCCCGTATAAGTATGGGCGAAACTTGGCGACTGCCCACACAAGAGTGAGACACTCACGTTCCATGATTGAATAGTTGCGCTCGGCTGTAGATAGCAGGCGGCTTGCATATGCTATAACACGGTCATGTCCGCGTTGATGTTGCATTAGCATTGCCCCGATGCCATGCCCACTAGCGTCAGTGCGAACCTCGGTTGGAGCTAATGGATCAAAATGGGCTAAAATCGGCGGTGTTGTAAGGAGCGTCGTGAGCTGGGAAAAAGATGAGGCTTGATCAGCGCCCCAGAAAAACGGGGTGTCCTTCTTCAGGAGGTTTGTGAGTGGGCGTGCAATGATGGCGAAGTCCTTAACAAACCGTCTAAAGTAGGAGCACAAGCCCACAAAACTGCGAACGTCCTTTGTTGACTTCGGAACAGGAAAGTCCGTGACGGCGCGAATTTTCTCGGGATCCGGGCGGACTCCTGCGGCATCGACGATGTGGCCAAGTACGGTTATTTGGCAACGAGCAAAGTGGCATTTCGACGAGTTCAGTTGAAGTCCGGCTCGACGAAAAACTTCAAGAATCGCCGATAAACACTTGAGATGGGAGTCGAATGTGGGCGCGAAAACGATAACGTCGTCTAAATAACATAAGCAGGTTGACCATTTGAACCCTTGGAGCAACGAGTCCATCATTCTTTCGAATGTGGCCGGCGCATTACAGAGACCAAAGGGCATAACTTTGAAGTGATAAAGCCCGTCAGGAGTGACGAATACGGTCTTCTCACGGTCCATCTCATCCGCAGCGATCTGCCAATAGCCAGATCGAAGGTCGATAGTGGAAAAATACTTAGCACCGTAAAGGCAGTCTAAGGCATCGTCGATTCTAGGCAACGGATAAACATCTTTCTTCGTAATTTTGTTGCGATGCCTATAATCTACACAAAAGCGCCATGTTCCATCCTTCTTTCTGATCAGGACGACAGGAGAAGCCCAGGGGCTACAAGAGGGTTCGATTATGTCTTTTGCAAGCATCTTTTCGACTTCCTGTTGTATGACTGTGCGCCCGGACGCAGAAACACGGTACGGACGTCGGTGAATGGGACTCGCGTCACCGGTATTGATGCGATAAGTAACAACACCCGTTCGGCTTAAAGCCGTGCTGGCGAAGTCGAAAATGTCACTATAGGACTCCAGGACGTGACGAAGAGCTTCGGCTTGATCAGGAGCGAGGTCTGATGGTACCATGTGGTCAACGTCGACGCCCGATGAACGTGTTAGAGTTGGTTCATTGTCTGAGGTGCAGCAATCATCCACTCTGAAGGGTTCAACCGTATGGTCTTGTGGAGCAGTAATTTCGGCCAGGGAGATACCTTGTGGAAGAATTTGGGCAGTGAGGGCAAAATTGACAATAGGAAGGCATGTGCGGTTTCCAACGATTGTCAAAATGGTGTGCGGAACAGCGACGCCATGCGTAAGCATCACGGCATGAATTGGTGCCACCATGTATTCGCCGTCAGGTACAGGTGGTGTAGAGAAGAGGTCGATATGTGTGACACAGTTAGGCGGAAGGCGTGCGAAATCAATGCAGCAAGGGCGACGTTGGGGTGGGTTGGTTAGATCAGAAAGTAGAGGCATTTCAAGGTCATGACAGCCGGCGGAACATTCTATAAGGGCCGAGTGAGCGGTTAGAAAATCCATGCCTAGAATTACTTCATGAGGGCAATTTTCTATAACGGTGAAAAGAACAGCAGTGCTTGTATCGGCGATAGTCACACGGGCAGAGCACATGCCAATAATTGCGGCAGTTCCCCCGTCGGCGACTCGAACGGCTCGGTTCAAGGCGGGTGTGACAACTTTCTTTAGGCGGCGACGAAGAGCAGCACTCATTATGGACACATGCGCGCCGGTATCGATCAACGCGCGCACAGGAACATTGTCTAAAGTAACGTTCAACAGATTCCGGGTGGTCGGTAATGTTACACGAGCATTTCTTGCAGAGGTCGTCGTCAATGCAGCTTCACCTCCAGAAGCTGCACTGCCTAGTTTTCTGATTGGGGGCGCTGCGAATAGGTCGGAGAGGCAGGACGGCGTTGTGGGGGCGAACGAGATTGACGGCGAGCAGGGGATGGTGAGCGGGCGTAGCGATGTCTCGTCAGAGGTGCGGCAAAATCAGAGGATGTGGTCGGCATAGGGGAATCAAAATCAAATGTTGAGGACGACTGGTGGTCAGAAGTGGCCTGGGTAGGAGGCCCATAGCATGCCGGCGGAGTCCAGTGATTTGCGGCAGTGGCGAGCAATATGGCCGACACGTCGGCAATTGAAGCAAATGGGCTTGTCGTCTAGTGTACGCCATTCGGACAAA